TAATAAAACTACCAATGTTAATCATAAAAATAATAACAATAAAACAAAAAAACTATAAAATTCAAAAAAACCCGTGGATGATAAACTTTTCTCAGAATTCAGGCAGAACGAGTTTGTTTATTAGGTATATTAGTTATAAACTTATATCGCCATTATATAAATTACGTATTTCATTTATTTTTATTTTTTAACAATAAATGTAATTTTTTGGCGTTCAGTCAAATACGTTGGTTAATAGTAATATATTGTTTGTATTTAACATAGTTATTTGTATTTCTAATGTGTACTCATGTCTCATTGAGACAATTAGACATCTATTGTAAAACATTAAGGACCAAATTAATTAAATAATTTAATCCATAGTATAATCCTATTTTTACGTACATCGGATAACTTGTACAAACTTAATTTATCCACTGGAAAAATCTCCAATACCTACAACCATTATTAGTTATGGTACATAACATTTTCTCAAGATTTAGAGATTAATTTATAAGATAAATACGAGGATAAATAAGAAATTAATGATATTATTGTTAAAACAATTAAATAATATGTAGATATAAATATTTTCAAATTCATCGAAAAATAGGTTGATACCTAAAAAAACATGATACTGTATAAATATTTATCGATATTTTATTATAATTCATTACCTATATCCCTCATCTCTACCTATAATTATWATGCCTAGTCGTTTTCGAATGTTAAATACTATAATAACTAGGGCTGGGATTTCGATGCAATTTACATTGTTTCCAAAGCTTACTGTGCGATGCTTGCCAGGTCAGAAATTTGTTTTGAGTACAAATGAGAATAAGAAAGTTTATTTTGAATTTTTTAGGTTTTAGGTCATTTTAGAGTTTTTGGAGCATTTTTTGAGTTTTTGGAAACCAAGTATGAATTTGAAAATTAATTTTAAGATTTTTACACCAACATGGTTTATATATAAATATAACAGATTATAAGTAGGTAGGTACTAGTAATTCGTATATTATATTATAATCGGGCAAGGTTTGAGTAACCACTACCCGCATTTCCTGTTAAATAATCTTAAATCGGTAAAATCGACGTCCGATCGTTCGACGTTCAGTACGAGTTTTGTCGTCGTAAACACCGTTTTATTACTCTAGTTAATTTTTTTAAGGACATTTTTGGGGGTTTTTTAGGGCATTATTTATAGTTTTTAGGTCATAAAGGCATTTTTTTAAGGGCATTAAAATCCCAGTCTTACTAATAACAATAAAATTTAAAAGTTATGATTATAAGATAATTTATTTTTAATTTGATTACAATTGCTAATTTTTTTTAATTGAATCTTAAAATTATAGATGATTGATACCTTACAGATAAAACGTTTGTTACTTAGCTGAAAATATTAAGGAAATACTTTATTTAGATAATAATGTATACATTTCAAAAAGGAATAATATTTTTATCCAAAACTATTATGAATATTTAACTACATTGCAAATGTAACCTGTTCATAAATACTCATCACTAGAAATTTAAATTGAATGTAGTTGAACTGTCTAGTTTAAATGATGTAAAATATAATACAGTTTGATAGTAAAATTATATTTGAAAATATTTTAATGCACCGACATCCACGTATTATAGGTACCTACATAATAACAATTTAGATTAGTCAACTGAAACCACAGCATCTAAGAAAAAGTGAAGCAGTGTTATACATTATCTCTAGACAAGGGCAATATTTATAGGTAATTTTATAGCTAAAACACAAAGAACTACTTTTTGTAGCTTTGTACTGTACCGAAAGTAAAATAAAAAATAACTAAATAACTCAAATGGACAGTTGAAGACCCATTTTTCGATTAACCATATAATAACCACAAAACTAATGATAAAATAAAAATGTTTAAATACCTTTTGTACAGGTTGGGTTTTTACTTCCAAAAAACACCGAAATTTAAATTTCTTATATTATTAATCAACAATTTTACTATAATGTAGTTTATTTTAACATTCAGAAGTTTAAAAACTAACCGTTCATAAACTAAATATTGATAGATTTTAATTCAGTTCTTTAATATAATTTAAAAGTTTTGATACAATTATAAAACAATTTTTTGACTTGAAAAAATAATAATATCGAAATGATAAACTTATTTGTTATTTTTAAGTGATGTATAATTGTATAATGTTTTTAATTGTTAAGAGGATGCAACCCATGCTTTTGTGTCTCCGTCTTACATACGTATGACATGGCAAATGTTCGTTCATTAGTTTCAATACTGTGATGTTATTTTTAGTAATGGAGTGAATTGACCTATTATCAGACTTTTAAGTAAGAACATCATCTATTCGATGTTATTACTTTCAAGCGAGATACAAGCATTTTTAATTTGCAATATTTCACTAGCTCATATTTATCATGAAAATTTAAATATCTAAAGAATCACAGACGCAGATAATATTCTTATCCAAAAATTTTATGATTTTATGATTGACTCTAATATMAATAGTAAATTAATAACAGTTTGAAATTCTATAATAACTTTCGAATGAAAATTTAATATGTCATACGTGTGTAAGACAAAGACAACAAATTCATGGGTAGCGTCCTTTTTGGCAATTCAAAGAATTATAAAATCATGTTTTAAATTTGTCATGGGTCGACAATTGATTTATTTTTATATTTCGATGAGTATTATACAAAATAATAATACATCGAAAAATTATTTTAAAATAGTTTCGTATTTGACGTCAGAAACAAAAGTTAACTAACTAAAATAACAGTTTTATGTACCTTAATGGCTATATTTTATAAAAAAAAGTATGTATACTGACTGATTAAAATTTAAGGACAGAACGTTAATACATTGGATGAAATAATAATTATGGAAAACTTGTTTCAAAGAAACGTATTTTTAAAAATATTGTATCCAAATAAAAGCTTGTAATTTCTTATTTTTATCGAAAAATTGTTTTGTTCCTTTTTAACGAGCCAGCGCGTAGGATCTATTCATATTTTCCTGGAATATTTTGTCCACATTATATTCAATTTCAATACAAGTTCTTCATTAGAAACAGAGTTTGGATCAAATATATATTAAAATGTATTCACAAATTTACAACACACATGAATATATTATGTTATAAAAATATATATATTACAATTTACCGATATATACAGATCATAAAACTAGAGGTTAGGTTACGCAATTTGCTAACGAATATTTCATACCATCTATTATTATGTACATGTGGAAAATAAAATGTGCTGCACACGTTGGATATTTTGTTTGATTCAATTATTTTGGTACTTAAAATTTATAAATAAATTATCAATTTAAATTTAAATTTTTAACTTCAAAACAAATATTCCAATGGATTAATCATTAAATGTTTTTAGAGGTAATTACTATTTTTTTACATAAAATATAAGAAATAATGAAACTCCAAGCGAAAAAACAAAACTATACTTGTATAATATTAAATAATTAGTAAAATACGAATATGAAATTTTTTTTTATCACTTACTATGTAGTCGATTAAAAATGTTCAGAATTACTTACTATTAAACCTTTCCACATAAAGAAAACTTTTTTTTTTTTATCTATGGCTAAGCATCAACAACTATGGTTATTAGTTTACAACGATATAAATATAATTTTTTTTTATAGTTAAATAACAATAAATACATAGAATTCACTAAATTGCGTTTTAAATATCAATGTTTTGAAAAATTAAATAATTCTATGGTTGATGTCGTCAATGGGGTACCGATCTTTGAAGAAGAGGCTACCTGGAATTCCAAGGCTACTTCTGGTTTCCACGTGGTTTCGACAGTGCACAATGAGGTGTTTAATATTGTAAGCAAGAAAACTTTTAAATTTTTGATCGATATTATATTGTATTAGAACATTTAAAATAAATAAAATAAAAGGGAATGTACATAATTTCAATATTKTGTACAAACAACRTTATCGACTAAACTAATAGTTTATTGTTCGTAATTAAATATTCAAACAATTTGTTCAAAGTATCATCCTGTAGATATATTTAATTGTATACAATTAATTGATTTTAAATATCACTTCTAGAGCTTTATACGTTTTTCTCATTGTTTTATGAGTAGATTACACGCAGTATTCAACAAAGGATCGTCTTCTATTAAAAATAAAATATTAGGTCAAATATAACAACGGTTATGATACAGGATTAATTTATATTTAATATAAAATATTTTTTATATCGAAAATATTATCAGATGATAATTTTATAAATGTTGTTTATTAGTGCCGTAAAATAGTTTTTTCAAACTTAGTTAATATGCATAATGTTGGAAGAAGAAATTTAAAATGAATTTYATATTACCTATTATAGAAGAATGACTAATTTTGTTTTAATGTTCAAAAAGCATCTAAGAATGTAAATTTTTTTATTAAATAAGAAATGTTTTAATTTATTGGACACACAGAAAGTTAAATTTAGTTTATAAATTATAGTGAATTATAGTTTATACACATAAAACCCAGATTTATTACTTCGATGGACATTTTTTATAATATAATTTTATTATTAATGAACACTCTTTTTCGAATTTTTATATTTTGTTGAACATTATTATAAATGTGATAAGTTGACACATAGCCAACATATTACATGCATTATTATACATTGAATAGAAATCAAAGCACAGAGAGCGAGATTCAAAACCAAAAACCTCCCCGTCAGTAATTTTTTTTTAAACTTTATTGTTTAAAAATATATAAACATAATACCTATTACATAAATGTATTATTTTAACCTTTCAATTGTTSGGCGTCGAATACCAAATGTACAAATATATTATATCATAAACCAAAAGAGGATCAATGTGGTATCTCCCAATGTTGTGTTATGAAGACATTACGCTTAAAATGGCCGGTGAGTACGAGATCTAGCGTACTTTTACGTTTAAATAACAAAGTACGATAAGATGGCGGTTGAAAAATTTCACAAAATATAAAATAATTTATTATAATTATTACTTGTTTCCGGTGAGTTTACTGGTAATCTGCTGCAAATCCTGGCATTCGTAGCGATCGGTGTAAGTATTATTGTTATTGTTGTTGTTGATGTTATTGTATTTTATGTTGTTGTTGTTGTGGTTGTTGTAATAGTTGTTGTTGTAGTTTTGTAAAGTTTGGCACGGTGGCTGTGTAGGCAACGGCACTTGAGCGTTGTTAGGGACGGGTGCCGGGGGATGATTATTTTCATAAGTGATGTAATATGCGTTGTGCGATTGCGGCGGATAGTCGGCYACCGATGGATGAGCGGGAACGCCATGACAGTCGTACGGCTGCTGATTAGGCGAGTAACCGGGGCAATACGGCATGGGCGACATCGACGAAGACGATGACATGGGCGACGAATGCGACGACGACATGGACCGGTAACCGTTGTCCAGCGGCGTGACTGGAGACGACGACATGGCGCACAGACTTGTGTGGTCGTGGTGCTGAATCGGCGTGTCATTGTGTAGTTGGTTGAACGACAATTGCAGCTGGTTTCTATTGTGGTGTTGCTGCTGCTGAAGATGTGGTACGTACGGGTGACGTTGACGGTCTACGGTCGGGGTGAAACAAGTTACGCCATGCGGCATAGGCGTGCAGCTCGGATACATGGACGACGGTATGTTCGCAGAATCGTCACAACAGCCACCAGGAAACATGACGTCGCCGTAAAAATCGAGTTTGTACCGGTGCAACAATTTTTGGATCTTTCAAATTGTTTAATATAAATTATAATAATCCTTCAATGTGGACGAATCCCATCAATTAAACAAAAAAAAAAAAATCCCAAAAAAACAAGTATCAAACGCGATGTACCGGATAACCGAGTAACTGGAATCGTCGAGAGACTCGCTAACAAAACGGCCAGAACACTAATAATAATRATACAAATATCACCGGCAGTGGTTAACGGCAGAGCGCCGTAACGGCGGCGGCGGCGGCACGAGCGTCAAAAACCCTAACCGCACTCAACTCGGAATCGCGTGTACAGCACATGTTGCTTCCGACTCGGTGACTACTTCTGGCGGCCGTGGCGAATCGCTCGACATTGACACATTGAAGGAAGGGAATAAATCGCGGGCTGGCGGGCGAGCGGACCGCCTCTGCTGGTGGGTAGTCCCGCCGTGTGGCGTGCATGCGCGCGCGGTCCAGTCCTGCAGTGCAGCCGGGCCTGCGCACAGTAACACTGAGGGCAGTGAGCGTGCGCGAGCGGTCGCTCGGTCGGTCTCCCGCGGCGGCAACACTGCAGCAGCCGCCTGGTGGTGCTATAGGTGCGCGTAACGCAGCGTTTTGTGCATTGCGCGCAGCGCGCGGCGTGTTCGCGCAAGATGGGCCCGCCGTTGCACCGCCGCGCAGCGGATGGTAACTATGCAGTTCTCGTAACCCGAGGTCAGGGTCTGCAGCGACCCAGGACAAGGATACACCAGCCGCAATACTGACCCATATCATATAAATATATTATACTATATTATAATATTATAGAATTTATGGTTTTTGACTTGCTAAATATTATATTGTTCGTGGCAATTGAGCGTAACATGCCTAGATGTTAATACATAATTGTATTACGTTGCGACAACTTTCAAGACCTATCGCCGTTGAATCAATACATATGTAATATGTATAGCAAGTTTTGTGTTTTGCGACTGGGGAGGTTTCGATTTTGGGTCTAGACAACCAATAACCTGCACGGTTATAAACACTCATTAATTAATACTGTCGTTTAGGATGTATAGTTTGTGTTGAATTCAATTGTTACTACATCCCTAAGTTGTATTCTGTGTTATTACCCGAAAATAAATATGTAGGTATATTAATATTTAAACACCAATATACAATTGACCTTGATTAGAGATTGCATATTAAAATTAATATATTTTAAATTCAATAACCATATTTATTTTACCTAATTATTAAACAATCAGATAGCTATATCAATATGTAAAATATTATTACCACCCTACACTATGTTGTGAGAACTGTTTAATAAATACAATATTACAGTATATTAAAATACTAAGAACATTTTGTTATTGAAATAGTTCAATTAATTGTATATTTCAACAAAATTTTTATTATAAATCATAAATCCACAACCCATCTTTTTGACTGATTGAAAACTTATATTCAACGAAATATATCATTTATTTATTCAATTTTACGCAACGATCGAAAGCTTACCAGAAAAATACATCTAAATYAAAAATTTAATAAATTAAGTTAACGTAAAAAAAACGAATGGCTTAAAATGAATAACAAATTAAATGAGATAAAAAGAACTATTGAAAAATGAAAAAACCCAATGTCGCTCAAAAGAAGAGAGGAAGTCATACTTAATTCGCCTCAGAATAGGCCATACGCATCGCACTCATGGCCGCCTTATAAAAAAAGAGCCACCAAAAATATGCCTTACCATGTTGAATTACAACTACAATCAAACACATTATTACCTAATATAGAGACATAAAAGAGGCAAGACAAAAATTCAACATACCAGAACACCTTCATGACGCACTAGGCTCTGACGAAGAATCCATCCAAAATATGATTTTATTGTTGAAAGATATTGAATTGTACAATTTAATTTAAATTATCATTATCTATAAAAACAAGTCAATGGTCACGTTACCGAGGCTTTTTCCTTAAAAATAAAAAAAAAAACGAATAGAAATTCAAAAATATAATTATTAGAAAAATAAGAATTATTATTTAGTAATACGTAATTCGATGTCATATTAATACAAGAAAATTGCTATACGTAAGACYTAGGTTGTCGTTGGCTAGGTATAGGTAGTATGTATTTTACATTTATTTTAACTTGTTTTACAAATACATTCATAGCCAAACATAATATGAAAACTAGTTGGTGGGCAAGCGTCTAACTTTCATGCAAAATAAATATAGTGACGTATATATTATAATAGTTATTCATGCTAATATCATAGTTATATAACTCCTCCTTAATTCATAATAAACCGACGTATTCGAAAAAAAATCCTAATAGATAATAGTTTACTATACTGTATTTTATATTTATAATTTTTATGAATATCGTAACATGCTTGATTGGRTTACCGACACTAAATTCCATAAACTTCAAAATTCGTACAATCCCATGTTGATTTATAATCAAAAAAATATTTGAATTTTATGAAAAAAGATTACTAAGTTGTATAACATAGTATACACCAGGGCGTTTACTATGAAATAGTCAGAATAAACTTTAAAATTCCTACCTATTTAATACAATTCTACTCTTCACAAAAATATAAACAAAAATCATATTATCACAATCATTCAATAAATATACACATAAATATATATTATAAACTCGGAACTGCTTAATTATATTCATTTTCCAAACAAAAATATTAAGCTATTGCCTATTTACACTCCGAAACTATTCACACTGTTCTATACTTCTATAGAAAAACGGTATTGACTCACAAGTTTATAACAGTAATAAACTATAATACATAGGTACTATTATAATACCTTTGTACAATAAATGCGATGTTTTCAGTTAAAAATGAAATCAACATACTAAAAGTAAAATAAATTAGTTTTAATAACAATATTACAAAACATATATTTATTTAATGATAAATATATTTAATGAATATACATTGTCATATAGGTTAACAGACCTTTACTTAGAATTGTCTTTCGTATGCAGACTATATCGTAGAATTAAAATTTAACACATACTACAACACGATGTATTACGAGTTACGACTCTGACGAAGTTCATCACTCAATACCTACTGTACAACAAAAGCCGTTACTAATTCTTCTTTTTTATATACCTAATATCTATGTAATGGACAATGGTTCTAACAAAAAAATGTCAAAACGATAATATGATAAGTTTTAAATCTATAAACCATACTGATTTTAATCTTATTACCTACATCAACAATACTGTGTCATAAATACGTTCTTATTTTTCAACGTGAAAATACGAGTTTTGTGTAAAAATAATCATAATCTATGAGTTCAAATTAATTTTATACTTTAGGCAACTAGATGTAAAATTATACACTACTTCCTTACCTTGGTGGATTTGAGCATACAGTCCCTTCTGCRCTATATCGGGATGAAGTAGACTTTTTATCGTCTGTTCCTTGCTCTCGATCCTCTTCTTCGACATCGCCGTAATCATCTACACGAGACGAGTTGCTATTATCCTCCATGACTGCTATACCTAGAAGGTATTCAATAAATAATACAGTTCAAATTTATGCTCATTGGGCCACAAAGATATCTATTTGTAATAATTAATAAATKWTAAATTATCTGAATCAGTAGCGTACGCAGGATTTTAGTTTGGTCAGGGTTTTACATGGGTAAATAATTTACATCATTTTTTGTTAAACAGTTTTTATATAATTAGTTATARCAAATTATAATTAATAATAAATTAACAATTTATTTTATATCTATTGAAAATTACCAACAATTGATCCACTCTGTGTATTGCAATGGTAGTAAATAAGATTTTTTTGTAAAAGGAAGAAATTTCAGAGGGGGGAGGGGGTCAGAACCCTTACCATGCGTACGCCACTGATCTGAATGTGATAAACTGATAAACAATACCGAGCACGATTAAATTTATCTTAGTGTCTATAGTTAAACAGTGTAATAATATGTACATTGTACGTGCTATACATTTTAATGATACCTATATTTTCATAKAAATAAAATTATTTCAATAATTAATGTTATCTTTTGGGCAACAATTTCAAGAAATAATTTGGAAACAAAATAAAATCTGTARTTGAAAATATTAAGTAGAATCTAGAATAGATTAGGTATTTCTATAATTAATGGTTGAAAACTTAAACAAAATAAATTCCTTAATATTTTTTCAAATAAAAACTTTTAGTCAATACAAATATATACAATCTTTGAATAACGAATCATTAATATTTTTATTATGTGTATGAATTGATAATTTAATACGTTATGTACTAAAAATAAAATATTTAAAATATAACGAGAACTGATATATTTATTTTAAAGTACAATTACGGAGTATAAAATATAATTTTGTTCCTCAAATCACAAAAGCTCTTTTCTGTGTATCAAATAATACACTCCATAATGACCTCTCCATTCCAACAGGAAAAGAAGTAGCTAAAACTTTCTATAAATGCTTTCATTCTAATCTATCTTATTACCAAAATAATCACCTCTTGTATCAAACTTATCTGTCCTTAATATCTCTGGTAATCCCAGTAGGCGTTATAGATTATATATATATANAAAGAGCCATGTCAATTTCATTAAATAATACATTTTTAAACATTTATAATTAATTCTTATCGGTTACTTTTTGAATATTTGTACATATTTTTTTTAGAAATGATATAAACAAGACTAACATCGATTTATTCCAAACAAATCCGGCCGAGAAATTCAGTGTTCCCTAAATCGGTGAATACACTGTAAATATATTATATATTGTAACAAAAAAACAAAAAACTTTTAATATAATCATAAGATAAAATAATAATTAATTATATTGTAGTTGTGTACTATGATACTCATGCAATTTATACACAAGTAAAAAGTATACAACTTTAAAAAAGAACTAGAACTGATTGATCAATACGACAAATCATGTGTGGTTAGGATAATAATAATTATCGATTATTTAGATCAATACGAATCTTTCATTTTCTTAGTAATATTTTAAGAATTTAAATACACATAAAACGGTTATACATTGTGGTAAAAAATGACTAAAAAAATAAAAGAATCACACAGCTGATTAAGTTACTGATATTAAATGAGAAAATATAAATTAACATTTAACATTTTAAACAAAGAAAATATATAATAATTTTTGACCATATTTTCGAAATTGTTCACACGAAATGTAGGTACAGATGTATAAAGAAAATATAAATCATAATAATATTTATTGATTTACAGAAGTAATTTTCTGGTTGTAAATTGTGAAGATGTAAAGAAGAATTATCAATTTTGTATTTATTGCACATGTATTCACATATAGGCACATTCAGAGATTAAAATTTTAAGGCTACCTGTTATAACCCGACTGTCATTCTGGGCATGGCCGTTTTCGACCAAGAACGTACTCTTCCCGTTTCGGCCGATTAACTTTTCGATAAAATTTAAAATAGGTCAATTCTATAGAAAGGT